GGGGTGGTGGTCATGTTTTGACCAATTTTTCCTAGGATTTTGACCAAGTCGAAAAAATTTTTCCCGGAAATGTTGTCGACGCGGGGAGGGGGGAGGTCAAAAAAATTTTCTGGACTATTATAAGCATATTCAAAAATTTTCGACCAATATAAACAATGCTTCCGATTTTTTCACCGCAAACGTAACTGAAGCTTTAAAATTGTTAAAAGTGCGAACCATTTCATAACTTTTAACAACTTCGACCATCTTATTTCCCAAACTTTCACCAAATTTTTCCGAGTTTTACCTTCAATTTTAAGCAAATATCAGTTCCATTTTGACCAACTTTGGGCACATATCAGCTCCATTTTGACCAACTTTGACCAACGTTTGAAATATTGGGGGGGGGGGGGTTACACCCCCACACACCCCTATAGCGACGTCCCTGCCTGGCAAGACGGCGACGTCCCTGCCTGCCTCGTCGGGGTATGCTCCCCCAGAAAATGTTTGATTTCCATCTTCATGTCCCGCCGCCTAAAAGACAAATCATTGACATTATTTGCTATCTTTAAAGCGGGAACCCAGGATTTATAGCAAAAAGATAAAACAACATATATAAATGCAATATGTCTGATTGGGCGTTGTCTTAAGAACTTTAATAAGTTAAAATTTATATTGGATGTAAATTAATTGGATGAGAAATTTACGAAGCATCATCTTTCTTTTCCCGACAATGTCAAAAAAACTAAATGTATGTTGCAATTTATGAACAAATGCTTCATTACTTTTGCCAGGAAGTAATGTTTTCACCTTCAAATATTTTGTTTTCACAAAAATATCGCTTGCGCAGTCTTTGAGTGCCTCTTGTGTTTTAATGTGACTTAAATTGCTTCTATTTCAATATAGAAATAACCAATGGAGCTTTTGCCCTTCCGGTTACTTTCTAAACGGGTTATATCGTACCAGTGGCCACGGATTACATAACATCGAAGAAGGCCGCTGCTGTAGACCCAGTAATCATCCTGACAGATATGGATCGTGTTATAATGAAGACGTTGCAGTATCGTTTAATACAGAAGGATGGTCAAGCTGTTCAAAGGCTGGGTACTATATCACTGGAGTATATCGTGGATCTGGCAAAGACGAGCTTGACAATATTGACAAATTTCGATGCTGCCAAATGGCTATAGGTAAAGGAGAATAAAATAATCCCATCCCGTGCTATAATCGCCCTATGTTTTAAATGGTTTGAGTCATTTCGTAAGTAAGTAGAGCAATAATGAGTTACTGTCGTTCCAATTGAAGTGTTGCTCAAATATTGATTCAATACATTACCTCGGGCTGACCAATACATTTGATCAAGTTCCTCGAGATATTCATACACTTCCTGTGAAAGAACCAATTCCAAGTATTTGATCATTTCTGGTCACTTCCTTTCTATTTATGATTGGTTAGTTGCACAAACAACAAAAGTGATTGGTGCATTCAAACTATTCAACAGGAAGTTTACAATTATACTAGGAAGTGTATGAATATCTCGAGGAACTTGATGAAATGAATTGGTCAGCCCGAGGTAATGTATTGAATCAATATTTGAGCAACACTTCAATTGGAACGACAGTAAGTGGTGATATAAAATCATCTCAGCGCTACAAAATGCGCCCCCAAGTATAGAAAATGTCATTCTAGAGAACCAAGATTTAATAATTTCTCGCGTGATCCTGAAACCTGCTTCATGTACACACGCAAAAATCTCACATCTTGTAGTAAGTCTGCCAGCAAGCCTTCAACAAGTTGTGTTCGCACTGCTTGTCAACCTTGTGCCATCAACCTTGTAACATTCTTGTTATATCATGACTGTATCAATCTTGTTAGAACAACCTTGTAACGAGTCTGATAGTGCAATCAAGCTTGTTACAAATAGTTAACAATTTGTTTCAAACTTGTTACAACAGCTGGGAACAAGCAGTGCGAACACCACTTGTCGACAGCTTGTGAGCGGATTTGTAGCAACTCGGTTTGCAGACCTGTAACAACTTGTGCGTTTTTACGTGTGTAGATTATTACGTGTGTGCTATGTAAGGCATGGAAACCTTGGTTGTCTCTAAAAGTTTCAGTGAACAAGCAAACTAAGAACGATCTTATGCAAGATAAACTGTTTCGGCCTTCCTGCCCCCAACCCCGTTGATCATACTCTATGCAAACAAAGAGCGTCACTGGCTGGTAATTATTCGTAGTTCATGGTTCCGAAATGGCAATGAAAAAGCTGATTGAACTCGGATTATTATGAATAATAGATTCATTTTATCTAGACGCCATCTCTGCACACAAATCTTCACAGGCAACAACGGATGAATCTTCGCCTGTTACACTGACAACAGTAACACCAAGTATATTTCATAATTTACATTTTTATTTTTATTTCATTGCGTCAACAACGTCTTCATTTCTACGCGTGCACTTTTCCCCAATCGACCATGTAAAATGGGTATGTATGTAAAACTTTATTTCAATAGGTTACGTGCATGGCTATTTACCAGTGAACTCCATGTCTTTTATCTGGAATGATAACATGTGGGAGAAACGTGAAGCCAACATTGAACTATAAATAAACTGGAAGGCTAACTGCTATGATGGAGGCCTATGATTTGATGAAGCCAAAATAGTTTTTCTGAGTTATGAGCAGAAATACTTGACCCCAAACGTCGGGCTATATATCAAATTGAAGCTATTGAAAGTTGCTATTCGGTGTGGAAATTTCAAGACTTCAGCGAAAAGAAAAATATTTAAAAAATACAAAAACAACTGCAAAACGGCAAATTATCGGTAATTATGTTTGTAGTTTTTCAATATTTCCCTTTTAGCTAAAGTCTTGAAATTTCTACACCAAATAGCGTTTTTCAATAGTTTCAATTTGATATATAGCCCAACGTTCAGTGTTGAGTATTTCTGCTCGTAACTCAGAAAAACTAAAATACACTGGCTTCAATTCCTCCCCCCCCCCTGAGTTAGCCTTCCAGTTTATTTATAGTTCAATGGAAGCCAATGCCAACGCCACTTGACACGCGCTGATTCGTGATAGACCGCGCGGTGATGGCGTATAAGGGGACTGAAACTGACGTACTATATGGCGTGGCAATGGTGTGGAGAGCTGACGCCACTACTCACGCGTTGCTCACGCGAGGCTTCACTTTTTTACTGCCAAATGACTGAATCACAGAATAGATACAGGACCAGAAGTGTCACTCAGACGATATTTTGTCCGAAATTTTACGAGTGCTGACGTGAAAATACGCCATCATATGACGCCATCCTGGAGTGCACACGGAAGTTTTTCATAGGAAAACATAGGTACGAAGTGCCGGGTGCACTCCAGGATGGCGTCATAGCACGCAAAAAAATTTCGGACGTTTTCCTTCGGCCAAAACAAATAGGAGTGACACTTCTGGTCCGGTATCTCTTCTGTGACTGAATGTTATCATTCCAGGTAAATAGATTGAGTTCACTGCTATTTACGAGACGTCAATGGTCACTGGGCTAAAACAAGTATAATAAGTATGATTTACATAACAACCATTACTAGAAATTTCATCAAAATTTTTTAACATAGGGTAGAAATTAAGAGGGTCTGAATGGGGTTAACTGACTACTGATATTTGCCTGAATTTTTGACTGACAACTGACAAAATATCCTAACTGACAACTGAGAAATGATGAAAAAATGATGAGTCAGCATTTTGCAGTAACTGACTACTGACAGCTTGCAATATATCGCACTGACAACTGACAACTGGCTTAAATTTCAGCTGACAACTGACACCCAAAGACCCCCATTAAGACCCACAATTAAGTTCAAAGAGTAAAAATTCGCTCAAATCCAGGGACGCCGGAACGATGTGAAGGCAAGGGGGGCAGATTTTCTTGAAAGGGCACTTTTGAATTGATATTTTCTAAGAGATGTTTGCAAAACATCGGGAGGGCCCGGGAGTTGAACTTCGCCTGATCATGTTTTCTAGTTTTGGATGATAGGGGTGTGAGGGGGTTCTCCGCCAGGCGATTGTGCTATTCCTGAAGTTCGATGACTGCATTTCTTGCGTTTTCTGAAGCAAATTCGTAAAAGAATTGCACTGACAATTCGCTACAATTCGCTAATTGCACTGACAATTTCTGAAAATTTGCTATTTCGCCAAGGCAATCCTTTAAATTGAAAGGGCACCTTTGCCCCCCCCCCCTTGCCCCTCCTGGTAAAGGGCAACGGGGGCGGCTGCCCCTCCTGCCCCCCAGTTCCGGCGTCCCTGCTCAAATCAAACTTCAAAGTTTTGTGTCAGATATAATGCAACCTCCTTCACGGGTCATGGTTTCCATTTTTTTTCATGAATTATTCACACAGCTTTTAACTTTTTCCTTTACTAAAGCCATCATTAGACAATTTTATATCTGCGATAGAATTGATTTGAAAAATTGAACTATCTTATTTAATGCTTTAGAAACGAAAATCCCGACCAGTTCAGATGAAGAGAGTTCCGGCTCAAACATCTCAAACAAAATTTTTATTGCTTTGTTTTGCACCGCTCTTGTTGTCATTGTTTTTCTTGGCATTCTTGTGGGATGTCTGTGGAAGAAACTGCAAAGGTCAGTAAAAGTCGTTTCCACACTTTTCTGTTCTCTTTCCTTTCCTTGATATTTAGATCTTCACTTGCAAATTGCCTCTGGTACCATCTCAACCTTGCTTTCCTCACCTTCACTGCAATGTCTACCACAACACATCTTCTTCTGATCTCTTCATTCCATAATGTCTCTGACCAGCTCTCCTTCATCTCTTCTATTACATGTCCATACCATCTCAACCTTGCTTCCCTCGTCTTCTCTGCAATGTTAATTTACCGCAACACATCTTTGATCGGTGGGAGGGGGGGGGGCGAACGAGCTATGTCCACCCAACTATACAAATTGTGGCCATCTAGTTTTTTGTAAGATCTTTTCCCCGACACTTCATCCAATTCTGTAATAATTTAGCTGCCAATATTTTCATTCTTTCTTAGAAATCAAGACAACAATAATACGAGAGGTAACGCGACTATAAATTTAAGAACAGGGAAATATACAAAAGCGAAATTTGAGATGAAACTTCAGACGAATTAGTACAATTTTAAAATCGTAACCGACAGCATTTGTGTCTTAAACCAGTAAAGCACTCGTGTTTTAAATAGTACAAAAAATATATCCAGTGCGTTGGGTAATCAATTTCAGTGGTGCTTTAATTACTTTGCATTTGTATTCGAGTAAAAGTAGAAGTAATTAACAATAAAACGACTTGAGTAAGAGTAAAACGTACTGGAGGCAAAACGTACTTAATTAAAAAGTACAAAGTATCCTGAAAAAAGACTTGAAGTAAAAGTAAAAGTACTTAAGGGGGGGGGGGTTCGCCAATGGACAGCTGACATAAAAAGACACAAAACAACACACGCATTATATGCGTGCACCGAATATACAATATTTCACGGCATGGTCTACTTTCCAGACCCTGTTGAAGATATAAGAAATCCATTAAATAAATAATGCTTATAAGTAAGCCACAAACGAGAGATCCCAGACGCATGTAGAGGTCGTATTACCTTTCCCGAAATTAAAATAAATTAGGAATAAATTACGTAAAATTAAACAAATATTAGAAAGTAACGAAATACTTCGCCACAAAATGAAAATAACGAAGTAAAACTTCTCAAAACAGTAGTCAAGTACAGTAACGAAGTACATTTACTTCGTTACTTGACTCCACTGCTTAATTTCGGCATGAATGTTCTTGAAATTTTTTTAGAAATGCAAGCTATTGATGAACAGAGTGGAGCTACCTCAGAAAATGACGTCTTGCCATATGTAATAGTGCAAGACAATGGTGTAAATATTAATAACGGAGCTTCCTTTACGACATCAGGGAACAACATCAATGAAAATTCATCAGGTACATATGCAAAAACGTACAAGTTGTTATAGATCTGCAAACAAGTTGTTACAAGTCTGTTCACAAGCTGACGACAAGTTGTGTTCGCACTGCTTGTTCCCAACACCTTGTAGCAAGTTTGCAACCAGTTATATCATGACTGTATTGGACTTGTTGGAATAACTTTGCAACAAGTGTGATAATATCAACAAGGTTGTTACAAGTTGTTAACAGCTTGTTCCAAACTTGTTGACAACTTGGGACAAGCAGCGCGAACACAACTTGTTGACGGCTTGTTGACAGACGGGAGAATCTTAAACTCAATAATTCATGAGTAAATTAGCCAACCATATTGCTTTATTTTGCTCACATGATAATACTGTATACCTGGTGAAGTATATTGTATACCTAGTGAGTAGTGAAGTATATATAATTCAGTCCTTGGGCCGGATCAAAATTAATTCACCTCACCAATAAGTATTGATTTATTCGTATGGGATGTCATTTCAAATCCTGGGGTTGAAATCTGTGATTAGTTGCCATTGACCTCAAAAAGACCTGGAATGCTACCTTGGTAGAAAATGCTTTAGAAAATGTCAGCGAATTAAGTTATGCATCATGGGATATAGATTCATGTCTCGCTAATAGGGTTAGCGGTTAGGGTTAGGGTGGGGATTAGGGTTAGCATTATAAATAGCGAGACATGAATCTATAACCGCATCATGCATAAAGTATACAATGGGCTAATTACGTATTCAGTCACTCCACTTGGCAAAGCAAGCATAAAGTATACAATGGGCTAATTACGTATTCAGTCACTCCACTTGGCAAAGCAAGACAAATCTCATCGAATTTTCATTCAAATTTAATCAACATTTAGTCAATTTGTCCTTGGGCAATGCCCATTAGTCCGTATTAATACGGACACATATACATACATAGGCAGAGGCCGCGGAATCATTTCGAAAGTTGAGGCCAAAAGGGGCCCTTTCGTATATGACCAAAATCAAACGATTTGATGTCGTTCACGAGCCAAACGAAAATTCTTGAAAATATGGAGTCTCTATAACGTCGGAAATGGCTTTTATACTACTGCAAAAAGGGCACTTCCTATCCAGCAAAAGACGAAATACTTTTTTCGTTCTTTAATTAAATGGGGCACTTTAGCCCCCCAAAAAGGGCACTTTTTTCACTTTTAAAAGTGTGTGGGTGTGTGGGTACATGCCCCCATTGCCCTACCCGCAGCCCCTGCACATTGGAGATAATAATGAAATGGTCAAAATTAGTTATAATTCTCTTTTTTTATAGCTATTTATGAAGAAGCGTTGAACTACCAGCCTCTCCAAAGAAATCCTTTAGAATATCTAAACGATGAAAACAACTACCAGAGTCTGATAAAGTCACAAGGAACACACTGAACTTCAAGGTTGAAAATATTTCGACCTGAAATTGTTATTTTTCATCGAGTTATTAAAGAACATTGGCAAGGAAATCACGTTATTCACGATAAAGTTGGGAAGACCTTTTACGATAGCAGTATATAATAACATTTATATAATAACATTTTAATATCCATCTTTGGTTAGAAAAGTACAATGGATTTACAAGAAGTGCTAAGGTTAAAATTGAAAAGAAGAAATCTTACTATTATTTACATCAATGTTGCTAAAAATGTTTATACTAGTTATATATTCTATAAAATTAATTTAGGACTGTTTTAAACGGGATATAGATCTAGGTATAAAGGATTGCCAGTGTCTTTTAGTATACGATACAACATATGGTAGATTATTTGTTGTTCTTAGATCGTCTTCGATCTTAGTTTGTTGGAAGAGACACACCCCCCTGGTTCACAAAATTTGAGTTCGAGAAATTTTTTCCATTTTTCTACATTACAAGTACCCGAAGAAGCTATATACATCAAAAACTGGATACTAATAGTTGTTTTGCGAATTTAAGAGCAAATTTCAAATCTGTGTACTTTTTTTTGATACACCCTGTATAGTGGAGTAAAACTAATTAGATTCTTTTTGGATTAGAGTTAGAGTTGCAATTAGGTTTGGGGGTTAGAGTAGGGTTTGGGTTAGTCACATATAGCCATTTATTGTCGATTTCAAGTCACTTTTTAACGCGCGGTTCCCAACTTCGTTGCGAACTTGTCAATTACGTTTCCAAGTTCGGAAATTCTGCGCGAACTTCGCAACAAAGTTTGCAAGTCCATTTCAATTTTTGAACTTCGTTTGTAAGCAAATGTTCATACTCAATAATAACCAATTCAATGAAATACAAACTTTCTGGGTAGCCCAAAGAACTTTCCTTGAATTGTTAATTTCAACTTGAACTATGGACATTTGTTTACAATAGTTCAAACATTGAAATGTACTTGCGAACTTTGTTGCGAAGTTCACGCCCAACAGTTCGAACTTGGAAACGTAATTGGCAAGTTTGCAACGAACTTGGGAACCGCGCGTTGAAAAGTGACTTGAAATCGACAATAACACCTCTTCCATCTTCCGAAAATGACGTCACCTCAGTTTGGTGGATGGAAACAAGTGCTGGAACCATTTCTCAAGACAAGGTAAAAATTGGAAACAATTCTAATTATATTAAAATTATTTTTCCAACATATAACTTTATTTTCAGAAGGGCTTGCTCATTATTCTAAAATACCACAAATAATATATAACACATTTTATTCAAATTTTCTACAATTATAAATATTAATTGTCAATTAAAAAAATTTCATAACTCCGCATGCATTGCTTCATCTAAATCTGCCTCATCTGCTTCGTCATCATCTACATCATCATCACCAACGTCATCACCACCTACGTCATCGTCTTCGTCATCCTCCGTGACGTCATCACTCTCTTTTTCAGGCTTTTCGTCTAAAATATGAAAAAACGTCTCAGAAAACTGCACTTTGGATTTTTTCAATTTTATTTTTTATTTCTAGCTTTTACTGCTCCGAAAGCCGATCCAATTTTACATCCAAGACCCCAGCCATGTCAATAGACTATTCCCATTATAGATTCATTTTAAAACTAGGCAAGGAGATGCAAATAAATCACCACAGCTAGAAAGAGCATACTAAAATTAGTAAAATTGCAAAATTTGGTTGCGAAATGTTGTAAAATGCGGAAAATATAGCCTTGCAAAGTTTGCAAATTTTGTATACTTTTGTATTGCGTGCGGAAATTCCTACCACATTCCTACCACATTTGAGTCGAAAATGGTAGCAATTCCGAACGCAATACAAAAGTATACAAAATTTACAAACTTTTCAAGGCTATATTCTCCGCATTTTACAACATTTCGCAACCAAACTTTGCAAATTTACTAATTCTAGTATGCTCTTCCTAGCTGTGGTGATTTACTTGCATCTCCTTGCCAAGTTTTAAAATTAGTCTATAATGGGAATTGTCTATTGGTATACAATGCATGCATTGTGATTTTAAGATGTTAAAAGGTTAATAAACGTTATCGAAAACGAATAATGACGTCACGAAGGAAGCTTTCAACACCGTGCACGTTTTAAAAATATTAAAAAGCGATTTAAAAACTTTGCTGTGCATTATGTTCATATTTACATAAATTAAGAAAAACCTATTATATACAAGGTAAAGACAGACAGAATGGTGTAACTGAATGGTTGCGTGCTTAAAATTATCATGGGCAAGTAGAATTGGCTTTTTTATATTTACGTAGAAACGCACAAGTTGTTACAGGTCTGCAAACAAGTTGTTACAAATCTGTTCACAAGCTGTCGACAAGTTCACAGGTAACAATCTCACATCTTGTAGCAAGTCTGCCAACAAGTCGTTCGCACTGCTTGTCTCAAGTTGTCAACAAGTTTGGAACAACGTGTTAACCAGCTTGTGACAAGCTTGATGGTATTATCAGACTTGTTGCAAGGTTGTTCCAACAAGTCCGATACAGTCATGAAATAACAATATTGTAACAACCTTGTGTCGTCAACCTTCTAACATTCTTGTTATATCATGACTGTGTCAGACTTGTTAGAACAACTTTGTAACAAGTTTGATAATGCCATCAAGCTTGTTACAAGTTGTTAACAGCTTGTTCCAAACTTGTTACAACAGCTGGGAACAAGCAGTGCGAACACAACTTGTCAACAACTTGTGAACAGACTTGTAACAACTTGTTTGCAGACATGTAACAACTTGTGCGTTTTTACGCGGGTTGTGTTCGTGTTTGCTCCCAGTTGTTGTAACAAGTTTGGAACAAGCTGTAAAAAGCTTGATGGCATTATCAGACTTGTTACAAGATTGTTCTAACATGTCTGATACAGTCATGATATAACAAGAATGTTACAAGGTTTACGACACAAGGTTGTAACAATATTGTTATATCATGACTGTACCGAACTTGTTGGAACAACCTTGCAACAAATCAGATAATATCAACAGCCTTGTTACAACTGTTAACAACTTGTAACAAGCTTAATGACATTATCAGACTTGTTACAAGGTTGTTCTAACAAGTCTGATGCAGTCATGGTACGGCTTGTTTAAATTTCATTGAGGGCGATTTTCATTTGTTTTCATTTACTTGCCACGAGTCACAAAAGTTAAGTTACACCGGAGCGATAAAATATTTACTCCCCAGTCTCTTTATATCTAATCCTAATGCCAAACAAAACAGCTAAATATAACACAACCAAGCCAACAACACCAACAGCACTTCGTTTCGAAAAAGCCCAAACTAACAAGCCAAAAAATACGGCATAAAGCAAAGAACCAATTTTCATATGCCATTCCTGAACAAACTTTCCCTTCTCAACATCTTCTAGAAGTTTTTCGTCCTCATCTTTTGTCGCTTTTGAATTTTTATTTTTCTTCTCTTTACCTTTAACACATTTCCCGTCCTTCCTCGTGAAACCAGAGTCACATTTGCAGGAATAGAATCCTGGCAAGTTCTTGCAATGTTCGTTCTCGCGTGGACACAGTTTCGTGTTTTTGCATTCATCTACGTCTAGAGTAAACACACAAAAATAGAGTTTACGACAACAGTAAGTCCGCCGTGGTTTGTTTCTGGAAAGCATGAAGCAGATTAAAAGTTGCGCTAGTTGTTTCTACACATGCAAAAATCTCACAATTTGTCAACAAGATGTGTTCGCAACAGGCTTGTAGCAAGCTTGTCAACAAGTTGTAACAGTGTTGTCGTTTTATCACGTTGCTACAAGGTTGTCACTCAGAAATTGTTGACAAATTGTTGAATTGCAAGACGATAACAAGTTGTAGGAACTTGTAACAAGTCTGTTGAGCTCAATAACCTTGTAGCAAGTTGTCAACAAGCCGTTGACAACTTGTCAACAAGCTGTGAACAAGCAATGCGAAAACATCCTGTTGACAAATTGTTGAACGAGGACTGGTACCAGTTAGTTTGCTGCAGGTTTGTTACAACTTGTGAGTTTTCACAGGTGTACACACGTAAAAACCAGGGGTTTCATGCAGAATGATTTGAAGTAGGCGGCTGTACCAAAAAAGAAAAAAGTAGCCGGCTGTGACTGATAGTTAAAAAATCGCGCGGGGAGGGGAGCGTGCCCTCGCATGGAAATTTAAAAAATTTTCGCCGCAAATTAACAATCAAATAATATAGAATACGTAAAAAGACAAAGTACAACTGTTAACATGTTAGATTTAGATGTCATTTGCATTTTTACTTGTAAGTGACAATGTACTTTAATGTGCTACTAGTAGTTTAATTTTTGCAGCTGCATGAACAGAATGACAATGTACACTACACTACAGTAATAGTAATTATTGTATGAGTCCGAAATCATTAATCAAATGATGTTATACTTATGTACGTAATGAACTTCAGTTCATCACTTCTTCTTTCTTTTGCTATGTTTGGTACTATGTATTATAAAGTCGCTAGATTGATCGTAGGTTGATTGTCGCTGGATTGATCGTAGGTTGTAAAATTCATGAAAAATCCAGAAAAGAACTACACAATGAACTTAACTGGCTAACGGTCAGACAAAGAATACACATGAGAACAGCTATGATTATACATAGAACACTCTACTGGAAGGAACCATTTACTATATTTATGCAACTTCATCCTCTCATCATTACCCATGAACATGAGACAAGATTCGCATCGAAGCGTAAAGGTGATAAGTTACTACTTGCGAAACCTGTTTATAAGAAGAAAACATTCCTTGCTAGAGCGTTTACAACAAGAGGAATAGAAATTTGGAACAATTTAAGTGTAGAGACAAAACACATAGTAATGAAAGGAGCTTTTAAATCTGCTCTTCTTAGACAGTTGGCGTGGTTTATTTTATATATATACCGAATAAGCACTGCTATTGCTATTGTTATGACTAAATTTTATATTGTTATTTTGTATAGCAACGTAGTTTTTTGTATATATATATATATATATATATATATATATATATATATATATATATATATATATATATATATATATATATATATATATATATATATATATATATATATATATATAACTACAGACGGTACCGTTTCGGCCTTATGGGCCTCATCAGTGTAGTGCTGATGAGCAGGATGAAAGTAACTGCTATATATATATAAATATATATATATATATATATATATATATATATATATATATATATATATATATATATATATATATATATATATATATATATATATAAGAAAAGTTTTCAACGAAATACAAATGGATATGCAGTCAACAAGCACTTACTATGCTATACTAAACATCTGCATAATATATCTGAGCTTTCCTGTGAGATATGCGGTTCTAAAACAATTTCTTTCACTTCGTCTTCGAGTTGTAAAACAAAAGAATTTCAAATTTTCAAGGCCACGCGAGCGGTGTTTTGCCGAACAAATTGTCAAGACATTGTAACAGAGGATATTAATTGTTGCTTCAGTTAATGGCTATAAGACTATATTATAAAACAATTATACCATTCGCTCTCGTCGTATATGGCTGATAGCCGACTCGGTGCTACGCACCTCGTTGACTATCAGCTCATATACGACTCGAGCTCATGGTATAATTGTTAAATAATATATATATATATATATATATATATATATATATATATATATATATATATATATATATAGTACAATCTGCAGACATGCATGTTTCGGCGTTCAACGCCTCGTCAGTGCAGCTTGGTTGACGTCTAGATACGTGAGACACTCGTATATATATAGAGAGAGAGAAAAGAGTTTGAAAATACCGTTTCATTTCGCTACATTTTCCGAAATGCTTGCATGGAAAATCTTTCTTCGCACTTGGGATCCGGCTTGTTTTATATATTTATATATATATATATATATATATATATATATATATATATATATATATATATATATATATATATATATATATACATATAAATTGTGTTTATCTGCTTTCGATAAACCCTTTATACAGCTATTTCAATTAAAGCGGCAGTGTCACGCGCTGCGCATCCGTTCTGCACATAACAAACCGAATTTCGGAATATGTCGGAAAAGGTCGGAATCACAGCATTCCGACTATAAAAATGTGCATATATTCACATTTTCAGCGGCGGAAAATACCAAATAATTGCTTCATGCATTTCATACAGGTTAGTTGTGTAATTGTACACTCTGTAATATGTTAAGATGAAAATGTTCTAGAGTGTGTATTCTATAATTTCCATACCCAGCGCAAGCAGAAAGATGTTGTCTGCTGCGGCTGGGTCTCGAACCCGCGACCTTCGAATTACTAGATCGACGCTATGCCTACTGAGCTACACGGTCAGACGGATTTAAGACTGGAAATTATGAAATATATACTGAATGTCATAAACATACTCGTTTTATATTAATTCAGCATCGAACAATACTAGTTTTGCAAGTGTTATGTTAGTTGTATAATTGTACACTCTGTAATATGTTAAGATGAAAATGTTCTAGAGTGTGTATTATATAATTTCCATACCCAGCGCAAGCAGAAAGATGTTGTCTGCCGCGGCTGGGTCTCGAACCCGCGACCTTCGAATTACTAGATCGACGCTCTGACCTCGTGTAAACTAGCATTATAGCTAACTGGGGATATATTTTGAATACAAATACAAATACCCCGTTGAGGTTATAGAAATCCATTAAGTAAATAATGCTTATAAACGAGCCTCAAACGAGAGATCCCAGACGCATGTATCTCTACACAGGTCTATTACCTATCCGAAAATTAAAATAAATCGCGTAAAATTAAAAAAAGTTAGAAAGTAACGAAATACTTTGCCACAAAATGAAAATAACGAAGTAAAACGTTACTTCTTTCAAACGACTTCGTTCCAAGTAAACTGAATACTCCAGAAAAAGTTTACTTTGTTACATGCTGAGTTCAGTCAAAAATCGTACTCAAGTACAGTAACGAAGTACATTTTACTTCGTTACTTGACACCACAGTATCGAACATTGAGCAAAAGCTAATCGTACATCGCTTTCGCACATTCAAAAAAGAGTTTTGCAAGTGAAAATGTCGTAAGCGAGTCGTCTGCAGTTTTAACAGAAAAATTTGGAAAATCTTATATTTTAAAACAAAATCTTCAAATCAATTTATTTTATCCAAAAATGTGTGATATAAATTTTAAAAGACCGGCTGGTCCGGCTCCAGGCACTCATTCTTTTACTCATAAACGAGTTAAATGTCCAGAGGATCATGTTTCAACTTGTCCAAACACTTCTAGGGGATCTTCATCATTGAGCTAACGATGAATGCAAGGAAAACGATAGAGTGCAACCTGTGGCAGAGTTCGGAAATAACCAGGGGGGCGCGGAAGCAATGTGAAGCGGCAGGGGCAGCTATTTCAAAAGGGCACTTGCTTCTCAAGCATCATTTTTCTGTGAGGCAAATTTGTTAAAAATTTACTGTAGTGTGGATTCTTGATTAATTGTGACTATTATGGGTCGGAAAACTTTGACATTAATTTTGAACAATGTTATTCGTTGCACCATGCTAAGCGCGCAAAATAAAATCAGTAAACGGATGTATATTGCCTGATTTAGCATTAATTTTACAACAATTGGTTAAAAATGAAGCAAAGTTTGCTTAAACATGTATTGCTTAAAAATACTTATAATTAAATTCAATTCCTGAGAATAACTCACGAATTTCGAAGCACAGCCGGTATAGAAGCACAACCTGTTGTCCCCGTGCTGCTCCAGCACTGTTTGGGCAACAGGGCAACAGGGGCAGTTGCCCCCGCAACCCCCATGGCTCCGGCGCCCCTGGAAATAACACGGTTAAAATTCCTTTACCACCGGTGTCTTACATGCTAGAGTTATTGTATACTATAATTATAATAACACTGACTTGTTGCAGATCTAATATTCAATGGCAGCTCATTATATAATTTAGCTCCCATGAAATAGAATCCTCTTAATTCGTGCATATTCAAGTTTTATAGTTGGTAAGTTTATCAAGCAACCTCGGTTTCGTGTTTCACGTCCACGATCTTTAAATACAAAATGATCCTTAATGGATCATTTTGTAATTAAAGATCATGGACGTGAACACGAAACCGAGGTTGTTTGATAAACTTACCAACTATAAAACTTGAATATGGACGAAGAGGATTCTATTTCATGGGAGCTAAATTATATAATGAGCTGCCATTGAATATTAGGTCTGCAACAAGTTCTGAAGATTTTTATAAACTATTAAAACTTCATTTCAGCTAATAAATATTTATATATATATATATATATATATATATATATATATATATATATATATATATATATATATATATATATATATATACCGGGTGTTCCAAAAAAAAGTACTCCGGTTTGATTAGTAATAACGTCTAAACAAGTAAAGCTTTTAAGGAGAAATAACTTGCATCAAATAGAGAAAAGACTAACTTAGATTTTGATATATTACAATTGTATTTCACTTAAAAATTCACGGAGATATTAATGATTAAAATCGGAAACATATTTCTGGATGTGTCTGAAATATGCAAAAAAACGGCGTATCAAATATTAATCAAGATTTGCCCGACTGAAACATGCACTATTACCAGTAAATAAATGACACTTGACAAATTGTTTATTATGAAACAGAGTATTATTATCTACAAAATACAAGCAAGATTTATTCGTCCGAAATCCGCGTGTGTTCCTAGCACGAATACGTTTCCTTATTTCACGAGACCACTGCATCGCGAAGGATCGTCACGGATCGTTCGTAGTTCTGCATGAATTAGGGCACGCTGTCATAATGGAATTGTGAAGCTCTTCTAACTTCTGCAACGTTCTGAAATCTTGTTATAAGAATACTCAAACTCTTTTGCCTTTTCTTAATCTTGTTAAGTTCAGAATAAACTGAGAATGAAACACAATCAAATCATACAACTCCATAAGACATAACAAGCAACTCCCCAGAGACATCCAACATTTTTGGAACAAAACGTAACAAAATAGTAGCGTTGATCCAGTGATGTGTATTTGCAAAAAGCAATATTATTTCCTTCATTAAAGAATAATATTCATCCTGCTCTAACCGAGAAATAAACAACTATGACATATCATGCATGCACATAAAGACCCAAAGTATTTTATCAATACCTTGCATGAAAGCTGAAATAAGTAAAATGTCTGACTGGTTTGTTTAATCCATAAACAAGCTCCCTTGAAATTTTAATAAAGGAAACAAAATCGTGATATTTATAACTGACAGTGAATAAAGTAAAAAAGACATTGTCCTGTACTGGACGCTGTTCAGTTTTCTATGTATATATTTCAAATCCGACTGTGAGAACTGGACTAGATTTCAAGTCCGCGCAATTTGATCAAGCCCGAGACGAAGCCGCGAGGACTGGATCAAAATGCGAGCAGTTGAAATCAAGTTCAGTCCGAGTTGGAGGATTTGAAATGACATGAATAAATTATTATACTTAAAGTAATTTGATCCAGTCCAAGGACTGAATTAATTTTGATCCAGTCCTAGGTCTGCATCAATATATATATACTTCACCATGCATGTATATCCCATAGATATCTTATATACACTAGATAGTGCATCTAATTATTCTGCAATTCAAAAATTGAAGCCGTGATTGCAGACTGAGGATA